CCGTAAAAGCATTCATCCAAACACATCTTACCTTTTGCTCTCCCTCCGTCAGAGCTGAAGAAAAGAAAATGAGCTCTCACATCTCAGAATTTGTGCAATTATTGTCTTTGTTCATTCGTTTTGTTTTTCTCTTTGTTGAGGTCTTCACTGGGGAGCATTTTAAAAATATTTTATTTGATTTTCAATATTACGTGTGACATTGTGGACGAGGTCAGATTTTGTCGCAGAGTGAAGCAATAACCGTTACAGTTATTTTTTTTTGTTGAGGAAAAAAAAAATAAGAACAAGGGCTTTCATCTTGACATCACCGCCCACGCAGACTCCCCCACTGCTACCAAATGTAACATAACTATTTCATGAAGACGTCATGAAAGCCCAGGAAATCAGCATTCGACCGCTATTCGCACATAATGAATGTGCGCGGGACCAGGCTTCATGGAGGGAGAATGAGGGGAAAATTAAGTTCACTTGACCTCAATATATCCCCGTCAGCTCCTGGAAATTGCTTTTGCTTTGGTCCTCCCACTTGATATCTCTTTGCCAATCACAAAGATCCACCGGTGCCGTCTGTGTCCGTGCACCGTCAGCGCTGCTGTCGTAGCTGAGATCGTGCTTAACAGCGTGACGCGCACGTGCCGACTCAGCAGCTGTCACCGAAAAAGTGAGGAAGGCCAGAGAGTATGTAAAAGTCTCTTCTTTCCTGACATTTGTCAAGTTGCATGAGAGGCCGAACATTGCAGAGTTGGCAGAGGGGCCCAAACCGTGTCAATTTTGTTTGTTAAAGTAGATTTGAGAAGTTGTATTGCAAATTGCCAACTACTGAAATGTTGCCGTCAATATCTGATTAGGTGTCTATTTATATAATAGTGTATTTCATATAAATTATTTAAACAACATTTGAGGATTTGGAGTGAGGTTGTCAAACACTTTCTTCCTCACTTTACTCGCCCACAATCCATTTGGCTCCAGTCACCTGTGGAGATGGAAACGGTACACTTTGTGTTTTTTCTCTTGACTTTAAAGAGCTTCTTTAAACGGCGCTTAAATAGGTGGAACTTTCCCCCATGTTGATATTGTTCTTCTTTTTCTAAGATCTAAGATTTTCTAAGGTTTTGTAATGCAACAATTTTATGCTAAAACAACGAACTTACATCTGCAGGTTCAGCACTCTCAACAACCTCTTTCTCATGATACCCTCATTTCATCATAATAATGTTAACTACAGCTGCTTTAAATAAACTAACCAATCCGAAACTGTTGCTATGATTTTGATTCCAGTGACGTGCTTTGTGGGCAGCAGAGAAGTTAAAATATCCTCCAAAACCGACTGCTGTATCGTTCCATTTCTAAAATACTGTTCAATAGCTACATAGCTAAATCAGGCTTGTGAAAACTGCCTTTACATAAAATACCTTTGTCCTTCCAGTTTGGTATCATTAAGAAATCAATCAAAGCAGCAATAAAAAAGATGATATGATGAATAGCTGCAGTCAGTGTGAATGATGAGAGCTTATTGAAATGGCCCTTATTGCCACTATATCACTTCTGGATACATTAATAGAACAGGATGAATACCGTAACATATGAAATCGATATAATTTGACCACATGGAGGAGTTTTTTTTTTTTTTCAAGCCCTCGCATTTGCTCCAGCTTCAGCAATGCAACGTTTGAACACAACATTTCACCGAAAAAAAAAAACAGCATATCAAAAGAGCGAGCGAGGATTAACCCCGGATGTAATTTAATTCCTTCCCATTCTATTCACGATATAACATCATGCCCATAATCCCGATCACCATATTCTCCGCTTTCCTTCACTCCTCCTTCTCATCATGTCTCATGCTGCCTAATCGCAGGGTGACATCATGGCGCACCAACAGCGTATTTCCTGTGTAATTGGCTGCAGTGGCCAGCGTGCTGCATGCTTGATAACCCAGAGGACTTGCAGCAGCGCTTCAAGCGAGCTGTTCGGAAGTCGTGGGAGGATGCGACACAAGTGAGCAGCTCGTCCTTCTCGTTCCCCTTTTCTATGACAATGGGCCTCGTTTCAAAAATACACCAATTGTGGCAGGTAGCGGTTGCAAACGATGCCCAATTCATGGCGCTATCAATCCATTCTTTGTGATTTCAACCCCAGTGGCTGTGAGCATATTTTATCGAGGCTTATGGCCTTGAGAGGGAGCATGTCATTTTTGCGCTTTGAAAAGCAGAAATGGAGGTGCTGCAAACTGCATGGACGTATTGAATGTGCTGCTTCGTGATTGCTTGAAGTGAAACTTCAATAAGCCTCTACTTCGATGCAGATGGAGGGTGTTTCATTTTAGCCATTAAAGATCTGACTCTGAGATTCAAATCCAGCCCTTTCTTCAAAATGATAGCAGAGACCCCAAAGTTTTGCAGGATACCAATATGTCAACCAAAGTTTTGGAAAAATGTGTACAAAATCTTGCGCGGGGCATTCAAACCAGATACACACATCTACGTCCTGAAGAGGACTTTGACATTTGCTTTTTCTCTCAAGTGCACTGATTTGGGAGTCGCAGCGAGGGCGGCTTTTGTGCTCCCACAATCCAACAGCAGTTGCTGTCTGGCTTCCTGGAGTGGAGTAAGGGGCGACAAAGGTGGTTAGCCATTGTTGCATAGACAGGTATAGTAATTACATTCTCATCCGTTCATTTCCTATCTCCATACAGCACCAGCAAACCCCTATCATCTCCATTATATGCTTGCCAGAGGGAACAAAAGCCCGACATTCGACGGCCGTCCAAATGAGACACTGACCCATGCTGGGGTTAAACATCAAATTGTGCCGCGGTCTCGCCGTCTGCTGAATGCAGTATGACTTTTAATCTATGGTACCGAAGTGGGGCTGTCCTTTCAGCCGCTGGATTACCCTCATGCACTTGAAAGCGCTTTGACTGGGCTTCAAAATATCAATACTTTACAAAATCATGTATTTGAGCCCAATTAAAACGGTTAGCTTTTAGATTTGTGACATATAACAATGCAGAATAAAATCTTATCTGGACCACACAATGCATTTTTTGAAGAGATTTAAATTCAAATGTGGTAGGGGTTTTAGATTTGCCAACACAGGGAGGGGTCTTTTGAAAATAGTGTAAGAATTCTCTGCTCCGGATTGTTTTTCACACCCTGCTTTCCAGATATGCTCTAAATTACACTACTGTTAGGGCTCAGTAGACAATTCCTGATGAATATAAGGATGACACATATCTCGTGCACAGTTGCTTGAGAGTGCACAGATGTTATAGTGGAGCCCGGAGTAGCACACACAAAGCAAAGCAAGGCGATTGTCTGATGAGACGGCTCATTTGGAGCTGCCATTAGTAGACGAATGATTTATGGCTGCGTCTGCCCCTTGCTTTCACTTCAGCGCTCTCTGCTTCTGTCATGTAGCTCCAAAGCAGCACAGTGGTATGGATGCATAGTGAAGACCTGCCACTAAACACGACTTACCTTAACAATGGAGATGATGAATGGAGATAAAGTAACAGTAACTCATGTTGCATATTTGTTCATATCTACAAAGATAATTGCTTGTAATAATTATCTTAATTATATATTTGAACTCTACATGCGATGATTAGGTGCGTGCTCTTACTTTAAAATTTGACCTGAGTTTGTAAAAATGTATATGTCTTTTTAAAAACTTACTGACCTGAGGAACTTAGAAAATACCTGTTATCTGTTTACCTGTGATTCACATTTCTTTCACAGGATGTCACCAATGATGGAAAAGAGGTTTTTGAGGACTGCAGACAGGGCTGTAGTGGAGGGTAAACGCACGTAAACGCCGTTTACGCACCTCTAGAATTTTGGAAATAGCGTTTACGCACCTATAAATAGCGTTTACGCACCTCAAAGTTCCCTGCGCCTTGTATTCTTCCGTTGGAATAATCCGAAATAAACTTGGTGTAATTTTTAAACAGCTAAGACTTCGTTTCCTATTGTTGAACATATAAACGCCGTAGTCTGAATCATTTTCATCTGCGCTGTATTACGGTCTGTGAGCATCCAATCAGTGCCTTGCGGCTGCAGCAGCGACCAATCAGGATCCAGGAGGTGTGTAAACACACGCTGTGGATCAGCCCAGTGGTCCCCAACCTTTCTTACCTCACGGACCGGTTTCATGTCAGACAGTATTTCGCGGACCGGTCGAGAAGTTCCGCCGGGGGGGGGGGGGGTGTAGTAGTCGCGCGCTCTGTGTTCGCTGGTTGGTAAAAGGACAAGAAAAACGCCTGGTGACACGTAGATTAGAAAACAAGTCAGTTCTCAATGTGAAAAAAACATGCTGTATAGGCTATTCATGATGACATAGGTAGTACATGAGTGTTCCTTTAACTTATGTTGTCAGTGTAATTGACAGGCTGCTTAACTGGTTAACTCTTAAATTCAACATATTTTTTCAGGCAGTGAGAGGACAGGCAATGATGCAGAGAGCACAGGGAGAGGAGAAACACCAGGTCCAATAGAAAGAGGAGAAGCACAGAGGAGCCATGAACCTGACGTGGAGCAGGACCTGACTTGGAGGACAAGGAGGCCCTCTGGGCACTACTGTAAAAAGGAGACTCCATATGTAGATAGTTCTTAATCTGCAACTGTGTTGTTGTGTTGTGTTGACATACTTTTCTTTACTGTTTTCTTAAATTTACACACTACAAACTACTAACACATTTATTCATTGTCATTGATTGTATATGACTTTTACTGATAACATAATGCAATATAGCCAGGACAGCCTTACAGAGTCACAACGCTTTGTGTTGCGTTGCTTCGCATCGCGTCGAGGTCTGTATGATCACAAAATTCAGAGTTTACCCACCTCTAATTTTACCACTACAGCACTGACTGCATAAGTGTTGCAAAGGCTCGCTGGGAACTGGGGTTACCTACAAACGTTGAGTATCAGGTTTTCCAGAAGTTCTTTCTTGAGCTGGATGTCCTGGAGATGTCTCCCAAAGTCAGGGCCTTGCGCAACAAAGGTCTGGAATACAGTGAGAGATTTTTCTAGATAGTCCACCTCTCATTTTTCGAGTGCACTTAAACGCATCACGGACGTACTCCAGCACGTCACTAGATGGCGCTTTCGCGCGCTTTTGGCTCACACGTAGACGTCAGTAGCGCGAGCGAATAAAACGACGCTGGCTTGATGAAGACGTCGCCTCGTCGTACGTCTCTCCATTACTCCGCAGGTAATGTCAAATATGTTAGCTTGCTGTCACGCCAATGGCAATTACATTACAGTATTACATTACATGTCATTTAGCTGACGCTTTTATCCAAAGCGACTTACAATAAGTGCATTTCAACCATAAGGATACAAACTCAAAAGAACAAGAAACAAGAAAGAGCAATTACATTAAATAAGCTACAACCTGCTATAGCAATTACATTAAATAAGCTACAACCTGCTATAGCCAGGAGCTATTATGAGATGACGATGATTCACAAACGTCGCTGTATGTGATGACGGAGTGTGCAACGTTAGTTGTCTTAACGTGAGTAACTCGCTAGTTAACGTTAGCCGGTACGCTTTTTAAATAAAAGTAACGCTGTGAGGGTAATTTTGTGTAACGTCAAGCAGTGATATTTTGTGAGTGTTTACGCGTTTCCATGTTGTTTAAAGTGTTACAGCTGTCAGTGTTTAACAAGGAGTTTTACCATAAAAGGCTGTTTAGCGTTATTGTTATATTTCTGTTCAGCCGTTGCCACCACCGTCCGCCATCTTGTGTTTTTTGGCCAACGGTGAATGAGTTAATGGTGAATCTGGTATTTTCAAGACATGCCTTTTAACATATTAGATTTGTAAGTTACTTTTCTGTATTTTCCTCTTATTGAATTTGAATGTATGAGGGTGTACAGGAAAATAGTTTGCTATGGCCAGAATAAAAGGACGCTGGCTTGGTGGAGACGTTACCTCGGCGAACAATCCAGTAAAACTATTAATGAAAATGATTGTGTAACGCATTCAGGTGATTTAACAGTGTTAAAGCGTTTGCTTCTTACCGTTCAAGCCGAATAACTATGTCTCTTCATTAATCTACAGCAAAACACAGATCCACAGTGTTGTTGAATCACATGTTACCAGTCCAGACGGCCCTAAATTACATCTGCTCTATGCCACCTTCTTTGTGTTATTTCTTTCCCCGATGTTTTGTGAAACATTTGCGTGGCTGTGTTCACAATATCTGGACTCATTTAATTACATACGATATTTTCCAACTCTTTTAATACCGGTTAGAGTTGTGTTTGGAGCATTTTAAAATTTCTGTAGCCAAGACTTGACTGTTTCCGTGGGTGTGCAGCATCGTTATAGATTTCTGTGGTGAGTAAAGACTCTTTGGGTTGGAAGTTGGTTCCGCTTGGTTAAAAACCCAAATGGGACATGGCCAAGCACGGTTTTAAATGGTCACAAATATGTCAAAAAGGATTTACACGTGACCATTTGCATATTAATACAAAATATAGTTGCTGCTTTTCTTAAACAGCAACTTAGGGCAACTTTAGGATAATAATTAACTTGATAGGCCTGCACTGATTTTCAATACTGTCATCTCATCTGGTTTATGAATCTTTGTTTCAGCCCGAGCCCAGTCACACTAAAACCATCTGAGCTCCCAGTGGCCAATCCAACAGCTTTAAAGGTAAAAACATAGATTCAGAGGATGGATACACGTGGTCAACTGTCACTTAAGTTACATGTTTCTCTGTGGTGTTTCCACCAAATGTCATTATTTTGACCAGGTCGTGGAACAAAAAAATTAAAATAAATCAGAGACACTAGAAAATTGCAAATCCATCCTCTCTTCTGTCTTTGTCCCTGTAGCTGTCAAGTAGGAAGTGGCTGCTGATGCCGAGGTGTCGCTACCTGCCTGAGTGCTCCGCCGTGCCACATCTGTCCATCTGTCAAGCAGCTGAACGCAGGTGAGTGTGGGGGACAATGAACAACCATTAATCACTCTGCGACACGGACACCAGTGGGGGTGCGCTGGGTGGGAGGGGGGCATCTTTAAGTACTGTGATAGTGTAAGCGAGGCGCTGAGGTAAGCCATGATGCAAATCTAAAATGTGACGGTCAGACTGCTCTGTTTCACTCGCTCAGCTGCTGTTATTGTTGCTGGTTAAATATGCCACCACACTCTGTGTCTTCTATGTAAACCGCTCAAACAAATGCACGCGTTAGAGTAGCAGGGCCAAAACCATTCAGGCCAAGTTGTTTACGCCTTGGTTTTGTCAGTTTTTCACTATTGGAGTGGGTGGAGGATTTATTGAGAGAATAGGCTGGACAATTCTCCAAACTCTTCTCTTAGTAGCTAAAATGAAGAGCAAACTGCAAGTTGGAAGTATTGAAACCTCACAACAAGATTGGGATAAAGTCCTTAATGGAGTTCCAGTTTCTCATGCACTGGCTTATACCATTCCCTTAATACTGACACAGGTGGGGAGGGCTTTCAGTGCGTAGACGCAGCTGAGAGCCGACGTCTGCGCTATTGTGAGCCTAAAGGCTCCGATAGGGTGTGAGGGGCTCAGTTGATAATACAGAACACGGCTAATAAGCTGGATTGTCAGACATGTGCCCCGTCTTCTGGATGATGATGCTATTTCTTCAGGAGTTTTGTCCTTGCAGTTTCTCAATGTATGTATCTCAACTCGTGAGGGAGTTTGATTATTTTCAAAATTTAAACCTTCACTTTTTTCCCCCCAACGTCTTCTTAATTTTCCCCAGATGAATAGTAAATGCTGCTTTTACCAGTAGTACTGTGACGTCCTCTCTTGTACCATACAGATCAAGTTTCATGCTGCCAATAAATGAAAAAAGGGTTTGAAAAGCATAGATTTGCCAAAAAGATGTACAGCTCCTCAGTCTCCACTCACTGATCCTAGGAGAGAGAAAGGAGCCAATGGAGATGGATTGACAACCTTATTTCAGTTGTTCTTATTTTTCCTTCTGCCGTTTTGTAATGTGAATGAATGTCACTAAAAACACTCCTTGTTTACTGACATTTAAAAAAAAGAAATCCTTTCTTACAAAGTTGTATTACTGCGCTTTTCAACAGCTGGTAGTTAATTGGCTAAAGTGGTAATCGTCGAGACATTTAGCTTGAACTATGTTTAAAATTATGTAAATTATGTTTAAAAGCCTTTCACCTAGAACTCTGAAGCCTGCCAAAACTCTACTTTATCCGTAGATTGATAATTATAATCCAAAAAGATTCATGTTGTGTAATTATGGCTGCACTTTGACAACTACAGAGCAAATACTCTTTATTACCTAAAGGCCCCCTTGGTTCTCGCTGATGAAACCGCATATAACATGTGCAGCGCACACTTGCAACGTTCCCTGACACCGTCTGTCCCCAAGACAAAATGTGTCCACAGACACTCCGAGGCTTCTTTGTGGTAGGTCCCTCTGCAGCGGGTGTCTCCAGGACAAACATCCGGCACATGATGAAACAAACAGACTCACGAGGTGAAAACAAAACCAGAGTCGCTGTCATGGCTAATCATATCGTGTTTGCACGTTGGTGTTAACGTCAAACATTGTACTACTTCGGCTCGTAGAAAATATTTCCAGTTTGAGTAGTCCGTATGAATCTGAAACCTGATGAAAGAAAATCAAAGCGTGCAGGAATTAATTGATATGGAGGACATTACCACCAGAGACATTTTACAGCTGTTGGTGAACATTTTATTTGACTTTAAAGTCTCAACTTTTCCCCTTGAACATTGTGTTACTTATTCAAACACATTGCAATGTTACACCTTCCCCGTGTTTGTACGCACGGGCCTTTACTCTAGTTGCACTGATTCAAATAGTAGATGGCTTAATAGCGGTGCTGAAAGAGGGACTAAAATGGTTTATTCATGATGGAAAATATGTACTGCTGCTGACCTTGAACCTCTGGATTGAGCTGAACGACAGAGCTTGAGTCGAAACGAGAGAGTGAGCGTCAATAATGACAATTTTCCATATGAATAAATAATTAAAAAACAAACAAGGAACTAAGCTGTAAGCAATTCACTTCGGGAAAGAGAGAGGGCAATTAATTGTGTTTATCAGTGATGTATAACTTTTATTACATGGACCCATGAGGTTTAGAAAAATCCCTATTAACTGATTTCACAACGCACATTTTATTCAGATTTGTGGCCTCTGTGACTCTGTGTGAAGAACGTAGCTACCCTGAGATCCTGGATGGAGGTACATGAAATCTCCCTTTTTTAACTTTCTTTATTTTGGCGCAGTGTCTGAAAATGCAAGTGCTTTTTCTTTTTCCTCCATCAGATGAGCCGCTAGACATAAAGAGATTGAGAAGGGAGAAATCAAGGTGTTTTATGGGCATTTCCAGTCATATTGTGCTTCAGATTGTCATAGCAGTAAAAAAATATCTACAGCCAATCTGTGTTCATTTAAATGAAATCACTTTTTTCCCCAGTCAAAGACAGTGAAGTAGAGCTAATAACAAATCAAGAGTGAATCAAAATTTGCTTTGTATTTTTTTTATTAAAAAGTAATTTGTGCTTTGATTTTAGTATATTTCCTGATAAACAATTCTCAAGAACTTTCATTAAGTCAAGTTACATTTTTTATTAAGTAGCTCTAGTAAGCTCTTTGACATGTTTTCATGAGAGAAGATGCTGCGAAGACAGACATTTGTCCCTGGAGTATTACATTTTCTTCTTAACTACTGGTTTGTGGTTAACCTTTGGTCATCCACATTTTTTGTCTTTTACATCAAAAGACCAGACTTCAAAGATTGTTTTGATCCAAAGAACTGGATTTCAACCTGATGAAACCGGAATAATAGACGTTGCCAAAAGAGGTCGGCTCCACTCTTGATCTACTCGGACGTTCTTTACCTGTGAGACCGAGGATGCTGCAACAAAACAAATGTTATCCAGTGTCCCGTTCCGAGCCTTTCCCGATGGGAGTTTGTCAGCATGCCGGAGTACTTGAATAATTTTGAGTGAGTTGTATTCTAATCAGAAAATCAGATCAATCAGTCTCGAGGGGATTTTCAAAAAAGACGAAGTGAGATCTTAAGTGGTAGAAACGCTGCTGTAACTCACTCAGGGGGCAGCGGGTGTTCTTTCTAAATTATTCATCCAGTGAATGGACAATGACCTCATCAACAGAATGCACGTTGTGGAGCAGCAAACTATTTTTAGCTGTGCTTTAACATGCATGTCACAACAACTATCACAATGTAGAGACATGCATGGTCCCCATGGGATAAAGAAAAAAAGCCCACTCCTGAATATCATAAAAGCTGAAACACATTTAGTGAGCCTCCACTCCCAACCTACCTGCCCTCATTGATGTTGCAATTCCACATAAAAATAAAATAACAGCAGATGACCCGGACCATCCACTCCACCGTCGCTTCACAAAAGTCCCCTCTGGCTACAAAAGCAGAAGGTTCAGCCACAAAGGAGCCCATTTCTCCAGATGCTTTGCGCGCCTGAGCCATTGAAATTCTAAAGAGTGCCTTTTCAGTGGTGGGTTTAATGCACAGGTTTCACATTGTAGCAGGACCACAGTGGATGAAGCTAAACTCAATAGCACACTTTGCGATAGCCGCAGTCACACTAGTGTGCAGAAAAACACGTCGGAGAATTTTACCCCGAAATGGATTCATCTGAAAAAAAAGCATAAATCCCATTTTTGTGGTCTATGAAAATAACTACCGTTCAAACCAGAAGCCATATTTGATTATCTTGTGTAAGTTGAAAGACATTTTCAAACTTTTTAAACATAAAAATCTCAAAAGAAACTGTTACCTCCCCTAATGATTATTTCCATTATTATCTTCCCTTTTAAATACTGGCGACGGGAGGAATCCGCTAACCTGGCTTTGTCAAAAGGTATCAAAGTATGCCTACCAGAGTAGAGTAGTACTAAATGCTTCCTCCTGTACTTGACTCATTGTTGTGCTGTCTGGTCAGAAGGACTGACTGACACTCTGTTTGTGAACACACACAAATAAGCTGTTCTGATGTCCGAAATGCCCTTCACTGCTCTGATAGCTGAACGGACTGTAGTCGACTCCCCTTGGGCTCCCGAGAGGCAGATAGGAGCAAACAAACTTATCTCGCCACAACTCCCTCCCCTCTGCCGTGCAGTATTTATTTATTTATTTTTCTGTTTGTTGATGGCGGAAGTAAAGTAGTATGCCACAGATGGGCACAGAGGACACTGATAGGGTTTAGGGACGCTGGAGCTTAACTTGTATATCTCAAATTTTAAAGCGCAGTTCATGTGTTTTGGTCTGTTTTGTTTCCATCAATCATTTGCAAGATGGAAATGAATTCATCATCGCTACGTGGTGTCAAGTTATTTGCATGACGTCCAGCGCTTACATAACAGCGCTGGATGTATTGCTCGCAAGCAGATTACATAGAAAAAGTATGAGTCTTTATATACAGCACTTCGTATTTAATTGTAAAGCATTGCAATAACCAGGAAGTATAAGGGCTTCAAAAATCCAACACAAGGTTGCCAGGTCAAACAAAAAACAACGGTCTTTCCCGGGTGTGCCTTCCTGTGTGAAAAGAGAAGGAAACGGTCATTTATTTGTTACCCAACTTAAGTACTGAGGTTATTTCCAAAACCATCATCTTCTTAAACATGACTAGGATGTTCTGTTGTTTCAGACAGAAACTGACATATTTCGCTACTTAAATCACAATATACCAAACCCTTTATCACTCTTACTTATTTGAACCCAAGAAGAGACGACATTGAATACATTGAAACCATCCAGATAAAAGCTGCTCTGAAAATGTACTCCTCTATCAGGAATCAGGAATCAGGAAACATTTATTAGCCAAAATATGTCAAACATACAAGGAATTTGTCTTGGCGGTTAGTGCGCGACAGTAGACAGACAAGACAACAGTGCACAGGTAATAAATAATACTAC